ATAAAAATATGGGGCTGACAACCAACAGGCAGGCCATATATGATGATTGCATTAAGCATGGTAGATAATTGGTTATGTAGAGCTATTACACGTACACAATACATACACATAAACTCATTCATCTTTTAAAATGCCGAAAAACAAGGCACTGTATTTAAATGATATAGTTTGTCAGCCTTTGCTACCTGCCTTATTGATTAAGTAATCCAAATACTACCAGAAGCTTCACATATTCTTTAACTTGCATTGAGAAAGGAAAATGAACTGGAATTATATGCACAATGAAAATCAAGGAACTGCATCCTTATTAACTGTCCAAACAATCCACCCATAGCTTGCAGACAAAGGCTTAGCTGAACTTTCTTGCAAGTCAAAACAAGGAGAAAATCATAGCATTTCAACTCAGTGGTCCTAAATTGAAAATTCCAAAGAATAAAAGGGTCCACAGTAGCCAGACAAAATATTAGAAGACCTGTTGGTTTGATCTAACTACAGTACACACATACACACATATATATATTCTGACACAAAAACTGTTTCTTTTAAACCAGTGGCAGAGCATTTGACCATCAGTTTAAACACACATGAATCAAATATTTGCTAACATCTGCACACTTTAAGGCACTGAATACCATGTTACTCTCGAGCCACACATCTGTGATTGGCCTAGGAAGATGTCTTCACCCAAATTATATCACTGTTTCATTTTGTTTAGTGCTGTCTACACTGTCAGCAGCTCTTCATAATTTCATAGAAGTCTTTCCTACGTCACCACACTTTCTTTGTTTTTCTAAAGAAAATAAGCTTTTGCTGTGGCAAAAAGTTTGTATCATCCAGCACATTCTTATTTGACGCTTCTTCCTAATCATCTTTGGAATGTTATACTATATTTGCATTCTTCATCATTACCCAAAAAGAAGCAGTTTTTAACATGGGTATTCACTCTCTGCAGTGAAAGAAAAAAGCCCACAGGATTTGGAAAGAATACAAGCTACATTTACTGGCATCTCTTAATCATGTGTTCCTAACAAATATATCCCTCCCCCTTTCCAGCGTTTCTAAGCTATTTTAAGACTTCTTACTTATTGAGGACAGTCACATGAATACGGCCTTTAAAGGTTTGTTTTTAAAAGACAACACCATGGAACAATGCATTTTTCTGTAATGATGTCTGATTTGGGGGGGGGGGGGGGGGGTCACCTCTTCTCCCAATACACTACCAAATCCCAAGAGCCTACCACAGCCCATGGACACAGTCTGTATGTGCCAAGCTGCTGTTCATAGAATTTAGTTGTAATAATATCAATGTAATAATGCTTGCAGTATCTCTGCTTGAGCAGAGCAATAATCTAACCTTCATTCTCAGCTCCACAAAATGGACTTGTCACAATGACAAGCATTTCACCTCCCTTTCCCATCCTCCAAATAGACATGGAGACCTGTACAAAAAACCAACAGAAGTACTAGAGTTGCTTTTTGCTATTAATGAATTCCCCTGGCCTCTAAGGGAAGCATATTTGGGCCAAAGGGAGTCTTTTACACTATCTGCGAGGAGAAGGAAGAAGTTCATGGGAAGGTTGCTCTGATTACAGTACCCCTTAGCAAATATAAACTGTTTATAAACATACATTGGCGGGGGGGGGGGGGGGGGGGAAGCTAAGGAAAGGGAGTTGAATCCAGGAAGCTGCCTCAATGGAAATGAACCAATGGGGGAATGAAATGGGAAGGCAGTGGGGTTGTTGGAGAAAACCCTAAATCACACCGCTAGGAATCAGTCAAAAGAAACCAAAAGAGCCATCCAGTCCAATCGTCAACTATGCAGAAACACACAAAGTACACAACAGATGCCAATTCAGTCCTTGTTTAAAAACCTCCAGGAAAGAGACTCTACTATATTCTGAGACAGTCTATTCCACTGTCAAACAGCTCTACGAGCATGAGGTTCTTCCTAGTGTTTATGTCAGTGGTTCCCCACCTGTGGTCCACAAAAACAAAAATATGGTCTGCAACCTCACCTTTACTGCACTCTTGCTTCAAAACCACACAGCAATGAGAGCGACTGGTCTCGCAAAATCCTCTTATAATGCCAGGCAATGGGGATGTTGAGAGGGGAAGGACTGACTACCCACAAAAGATTATTACTAAAACATCCGCTCTAGATTATAAGATATGGTTTTCTGTGGGCAAGCAGATGGCAACTATTGGATGGCAAATGTTTTGTATCAGAAACTAGAGCTGATGTGGTCTATCCAATGCAATTTTCTGAATCAGCAGCCCAAATAAGCAAACTGAATCTGAAGTTGACCAAAAGCTGATTTGTAACCCTTTTGGTACTAATGTTGGAGAGTGGTCCCTGGTCAAAAAAAGGTTGGGAACTACTGGCCAAGGTGGAATAATTTTTCCCGCAATCCGAATCCAGTGCTCTGTATCCTAGTCTCAGGAGCAGCAGAAAACACGCTTTCTCCCTCCTCCATGTGACATCCTTTCCAGTATTCAATCTGGCTATCACGAGCCCTTTCCAGCCTTCTCTTAGTTGAAATGGAATAACTTTTCCTGCAATCTGAATCCACTGCTCCGTATCCTAGTCTCAGGAGCAGCAGAAAACATGCTTTCTCTCTCCTCCATGTGATATCCTTTCAGGTATTTAATCAGGCTATCATGTCCCCTTCCAGCTTTCTCTTCACAAAGCTAAATACACCCAGCTCTCTAAGTTGCTCCTCAGAGGGTTTGGTTTCCAGACTTTTGACCCGTTTGTCAATATCCTTCTTAAATTGTGGTATTGTCCAGAGACGGACACAGTATTCCAGTTGTCTGTCCAAAGCAAAATGGAGTGGGTCTATGACTTCCCTCAACTGAGACACTAGACCAGGGGTCCTCAAACTAAGGCCCGCGGTTTGGATACGGCCCTCCAAGGTTATTTACCTGGCCCTCACTCAGGGTCAACCTAAGTCTGAAACAACTTGAAAGCACACAATAACAACAACAAACAACAACAGTACTATCTCATCAGCCAAAAGCAAGTCCACACTTCCCATTAAAATACTAATAAGTTTACATTTGTTAAAATTGTTCTTCATTTTAATTATAATTTTAGCAAATATAAACTTATTAGTATTTTAATGGGAAGTGTGGACTTGCTTTTGGCTGATGAGATAGTGTTGTCATTGTTGTTGTGCAGTTTCAAGTCGTTTCAGACTTAGGTTGACCCTGAGTGAGGGCCAGGTAATTGTTCTTCAAATTGCTCTCTATTTTAATTATAAGGAGCCCCCGGTGGCGCAGTGAGTTAAACCCCTGTGCCAGCAGGACTGAAGACCAACAGGTCGCAGGTTCGAATCCGGGGAGAGGCGGATGAGCTCCCTCAATCAGCTCCAGCTCCTCATGGGGGGACATGAGAGAAGCCTCCTACAAGGATGATAAAAACATCAAAAATCATCCGGGTGTCCCCTGGGCAACGTCCTTGCAGATGGCCAATTCTCTCACACCAGAAGTGACTTGCAGTTTCTCAAGTCGCTCCTGACACGACAAAAATAATTTTAAATACTTAATTATATGTTGTACTAAAAATAAGATATGTGCAGTGTGCATAGGAATTCATTCATGTTTTTTTTTTCAAATTATAATCCGGCCCTCCAACAGTTTGAGGGGCTGTGACCTGGCCCTCTGTTTAAGAAGTTTGAGGACCCCTGCACTAGACTCCAATGGATGCAGCCTTGAATTATTTATTTATTTATTTCAAAGTTTTATATACCGAGCTTCTCACCTCATAAGCTTCTCACCTCATAAGGGGTTTCCAACCATAAAAACACATACAATATCAAAATACACATTACAATAAAACATTAAAAAAGCACATATATTTAAAACTACAGTGGTCAGTCGTCATACTAAAATCGAATATACACCGCCTTCCATCCAGATCATTGTCTCATTCTTCGAAAGCCTGTCTCCATAACCACGACTTCACCTGTTTCCTGAATGTCAGGATTGTTGGGGTGGTTCTAACCTCTGGCGGGAGAGAGTTCCAGAGTTGCGGGGCCACTACCGAGAAGGCTGTGTCCCTCGTCCCCACCAGCCGCGCTTGTGAGGCCGGCGGGACCGAGAGCAGGGCCCCTCCAGACGATCTTAGTAATCTTGATGGTTCGTAGGGGAGAATACGTTCGGAGAGGTAAACCAAATTACATTGGCTTTACGCGCTGCTGCATCACAGGATTGAGCCTCCCCGTAATTCCCTCCCCTAATTTCAAAAGACTATCATTGTCTCTCCATCAGAAGACATTGGATGTGTCTACACCAGGCATGGGCCAACTTGGGCCCTGCAGGAGTTTTGGCCTTCAACTCCCACCATTCCTAACAGCTTAAGCGGCCGAGGGAGGAAAGGGAAGGGTCTGAGCCGGTTAGGAATGGTGGCTGTGGAAGTCCAAAACACCTGCAGGGCCCAAGTTGGCCCATGCCTGGAGTAGATGCAGAATTCATTCATGTTTATTTCAAATTATAATCCGGCCCTCCAACAGTTTGAGGGGCCGGATTATAATTTGGCCCTCTGTTTAAGAAGTTTGAGGACCCCTGCACTAGACTCCAATGGATGCAGACTTGAATTACACTGGCTTTACGCGCTGCTGCATCATAGGATTGAGCCTCCCCTAACGTCACAAGACTATCATTGTATCTCCATCAGAAGACATTGGATGTGTCTACACCAGGCATGGGCCAACTTGGGCTCTGCAGGAGTTTTGGACTTCAACTCCCACCATTCCTACAGCCTCAAGGGCATGGTGGGAAGGGGGGGGGGGGTTTGGGGACAGAAAAAAAAAGGGTTCCCCCCCCGCCCAAAACACCTGCAGGGCCCAAGTTGGCCCATGCCTGGAGCAGATGCACTTCCAAGCTCCTTTGGCCTGCAGTTGCAAAGCCGGGGCCTCAGTGTAGCAAAGCGAGGGCAAAGGGACTGCCTCGGGATGGATGCCAGGTCGGTTGCCGTCGTTCCCGAGCCCAGCGGGCCTCACCTCCTCCGGCACGGCCGGGTCTCCCCCTGCGGCGCTTCCCTCTCCTGAGAAGCCCTCTGGCAGAGGCGGGAGCGGCGGTAGGGGCGGCAGCGGGGGCAGAGGCGGGAGCGGCGGCAGCGGTGGTAGTGGCGGCAGCGGCGGCAGCTCAGCCTCCATGTCCCCGTTGAAGAGCGAGGCCCCCTCGGCGTCTCCGTCGCTGCTCACCGCCGCCATCTTGGAGCGCGCGGAGAAGGAGGGGGAAGAGTCGGAGGAGGGGGAGGGGGGCGGCGAGAGCGACCCGGCCGCCCCCAACCGCGACCCGTAGTTGGAGAGGGGGGCGGGGCCACCGAGGGGGAAACAGGAGAGGGAGGAGGAGGAAGACTGAGAAGAGAGACCCAGGCCACCAGCCGCGGCCGCCGCACGTCACGCCCCCGGCCGTGACGTCACCCGGAATCGCCGCGCATGCGCGACGGGACGTCAGCGGGAAACACCCTGACATCACGCCGAGAGGGCCCCCTCCCCTCCCCACCTCCCTCTACGTCACCCAGGGAACCCGGAAGGCGGGGAATCCTTGGCCACGCCTCCTTCCTCATCTAGTCTATTAGGAGCCCCCGGTGGCGCAGTGGGTTAAACCCCTGTGCCGGCAGGACTGAAGACCGACAGGTCGCAGGTTCGAATCCGGGGAGAGGCGGATGAGCTCTCTCTATCAGCTCCAGCTCCTCATGCGGGGACATGAGAGAAGCCTCCCACAAGGATGATAAAAACATCAAATCATCCAGGCGTCCCCTGGGCAACGTCCTTGCAGACGGCCAATTCGCTCACACCAGAAGCGACTTGCAGTTTCTCAAGTCGCTCCTGACACGACAAAAAAAAATAATTTCCCCATCAGGGGGCAGAGCAGCCTTAAATAGCCTGCAGCTCCGCCCCTGTCAACCACCTCCACCAAGTCTGGCCTCCTTAATGAGAGCATTCAACACCCCCCCCCAACTTGGTTGCTTCGCTACATCGGTTACTGCTGCAAGTCATGACAGTGTGAATAAATTGTCAATATTTGCTTGAGATAGTGCTTGCAGTTTTGGAGGGACTCTTAATTTTTTGCGTCTCCTAGACTTAGCAGCATGGGGATTTGGTTAACCAGTTAAAATTCATGAGTAAACCAGGTTTATTTTTTTAAATAAGGATGATAAAAACATCGAATCATCCGGGCGTCCCCTGGGCAACATCCTTGCAGTCGGCCAATTCTCTCACATCAGAAGCGACTTGCAGTTTCTCAAGTCGCTCCCGAATCAGAATCAAAGAGTTGGAAGAGACCTCATGGGCCATCCAGTCCAACCCCATTCTGCCAAGAAGCAGGAATATTGCATTCAAATCACCCCTGACAGATGGCCATCCAGCCTCTGTTTAAAAGCTTCCAAAGAAGGAGCCTCCACCACACTCTGGGGCAGAGAGTTCCACTGCTGAACAGCTCTCACAGTCAGGAAGTTCTTCCTCATGTTCAGGTGGAATCTCCTTTTTTGTAGTTTGAAGCCATTGCTTCAGAGGCGGCTCATCCATTACGCGAAGTAAGAGGTTGCAGAACACTTTTTTTTGCCAGGGGCACAGAGGCGCCTCTGTAAATGCCCCTCGACCGCCACTTGAGGCGCGCCCCCTCAGCTCACAACAGCCCTAGCAGTCCGAGAGAGAGAGAGAGCCCCTCCGGCTGGAGGTATCTCCCACCTCCGCTCCCTCCTTTGTTTTTGCGCCTACCTTCAGGAAAGGTGGGCATCTCCACCTCTCTCTCTCTCTCTCTCTTGGTCCCAATGGCTGAGGAGAAAGTCAGGAGAAGAGGTGACTTTTGGTGCACATGCCAGGGTCTTCAGGCACGCCTCCGGACCCAAGGGAGCAAGTGCGGCAAGTGTAGTTACTGGGATGTATAGTTCACCTACAATCAAAGAGCATTCTGAACTCCACCAATGATGGAATTGAACCAAATATGGCACACAGAACTCCCACGACAAACAGAAAATATATATCAATGATTGGTTGGGGGGGGGGGCACCAAAATACTGTTTGCTTACCGTTGAAAATTACCTAGGGCCGCCTCTGTCCGCGTCCTAGTCTCCAGGAAGCAGAAAACAAGCTTGCTCCCTCCTCCCTGTGGCTTCCTCTCACATATTTATACATGGCTATCATATCCCCTCTCAGCCTTCTATTCTTCAGGCTAAACATGCCCGACACGACAATAAATCAAGCCTGTTGTGTTGTGATGATTTCAGGTCGTTCAGGTTAAGTCTCCCTCATCCATAGAGTGGGGGCCCTTCCGCACAGTCCTATTATTATTATTATTATTATTATTATTATTTATTAAACTTTATTTGTACCCCGCTAGCATCTCCCGAAGGATTCGATGCGGCTTACACAGAAAAGCCAGGTCTTCAGGTTCTTTCTGAAGACAGCCAATGTAGGGGCCTGTCTAAAGTCTTTGGGGAGGGTGTTCCAGAGTCGGGGGGCCACCACGGAAAAGGACCTGTCCCACGTCCCCACCAAGCGCGCTTGTGACGCAGATGGGGTCATGAGCAGGGCCTCTCCAGATGACCGAAGTGAACGTGTGGGTTCGAAGATGGAAATGCGGTCACGCAGGTAGGCTGGTCCCAAACCGTTCAGGGCTTTGTAGGTAAGCACCAGCACCTTAAAAAAAAGCCGTTTATTTTCCTTGGGCTCGGAAAATAAACGGCAGCCAGTGGGGCTCCTTGAACAGAATATCCCAGAATAGGAGGTCCATGAATGCCTGAAATCCAACATGTATCACTAAAGCAATGATTTAAATTGGGAAAATGACACCAGGGTGGGTTGTTTACCTGTTTCCCAACACTGCTGTCCTAAAGATATGTCCATCACCACCCACACTTACTTCTGACTTGCAGCTAAGAAATCATCTATAGGACAGATGGCAAGCTGTTTAACCTCAGCAGACTGAAAGCCAAAACCAAGGTTACAACAACATCTGTTATAGAACTCCAGTATGCTGATGACAACGTGGTCTGTGCGCATTCAGAAGAAGATCTACAAGCCACTCTAAACACCTTTGCAGAAGCATATGAGAAGCTCGGCCTGTCATTGAACATCGAGAAAACCAAAGTGCTGTTCCAGCAGTCACCAGCCAATTCCTTTCCAATGCCAGAGATACAGCTTAATGGTGTAACATCAGAAAATGTTGACCATTTCCGCTACCTTGGCAGCCTCCTCTCTACCAAATTCAACATCGACACTGAAATACAACACCGCCTGAGCTCTGCGAGTGCAGCATTTTTCCCAATGAAGCAGAGAGTGTTTGAGGACTGGGACATCCGTAGGGATACCAAGGTGCTTGTCTATAAAGCTATTGTCTTCCCAACCTGCTATATGCCTGTGAAACGTGGACTGTCTTCAGACGTTTCATGCAATTCCTGGAACGCATCAGCGTTGCCTCCGGAAAATCCTGCAAATCTCTTGGGAAGACAGGTGGACAAATATCAGCATGCTGGAAGAAGCAAAGACCACCAGCATTGAAGCGATGGTCCTCCACCATCAACTCCACTGGACCGGCCATGTTGTCCGGATGCCCAACCACTGTCTCCCAAAGCAGTTGCTCTACTCCGAACTTAAGAATGGAAAATGGAATGTTGGTGGACAGGAAACGAGATTTAAAGATGGGCTCAAAGCCAACCTTAAAAACTCTGGCATAGACACTGAGAACCGGGAAGCCCTGGCCCTTGAGCTCTCCAGCTGGAGGTCAGCTGTGACCAGCAGTGCTGCAGAATTTGAAGAGGCACGAATGGAGGGTGAAAGAGAGAAACGTGCCAAGAGGAAGGCGCATCAAGCCAACCCCGACCGGGACCACCTTCCACCTGGAAACCAATGCCCTCACTGCAGAAGAAGATGCAGATCAAGAATAAGGCTCCACAGCCACCTACAGACTCACAAGAATTCTGATCCTGGAAGACTATCCTACTCAACCAACGAGGGACCACCTAAGTAAGTAAGTAAGCATCCCTGGGAACAATATTCCACAATTGTGATTTTATTCCACGCAGCTGAATAAAAATTCCACGTCATCTGCTTTTAACTGGAATATATGGCAGTGTGGATTCAGATAACCCAGTTCAAAGCAGATATTGTGGGATTTTTTGCTTTAATATTCTGGGTTATATGGCTGCGTGGAAGGCCCCTAAGACAGCAGCAAGTAGAAGGCACTACTCATGAGTACTTAATAAAAGTTAATCAAACCAAAGAGCTATCTAATCCTGTATTCTTACATAGTGCCCAAACAGTGGCCTATAGGAAGCCCACAGCAAGAGACAAAAACAGAGGTGGCCTTCTTCTTATATTCCCCAGCAAGTGACCCTCCGGGCCCTTCCAGACAGCCCTATATCTCAGAATATCAAGGCAGAAAATTCCACAATATCTGCTTTGAACTGGGTTATCTGAGTCCACACTGAGATAATGTGGGATTTTCTGCCTTGCTATTCTGGGATTTTCTTACTTACTTACTTACTTACTTAGGTGATCCCTCGTAGCTCGAAGCTGATTGTCTTCCAGATGTAGTGTCTTGGCAGTGGGTCTGTAGGTGGCTGTGGAGCCCTATCTGCATGTTCTCCCGCAGTAAGGACACGAGTTTCCAGACAGAAGGCGGTCCCGGTCAGGGTTGGCTTGACGCACCTTCCTCTTTCACCCTCCATTCGTGCCTCTTATTCTGGGATATATTTATTTATCATATCAGGTATCGCATTTATTGTAGTCACCTGTGGATGTGAGAGCTGGACCATAGGGAAGATTGAGTGAAGGAAGATAGATGCTTTTGAACTGTGGTGCTGGAGGAAAGTGCTGAGAGTGCCTTGGACAGCGAGAAGATCCAATCAGTCCATACTTCAAGAAATAAATCCTGACTACTCATTGGAGGGAAGGATAGTAGAGGTCAAGATGAAGTACTTTGGCCACATCATGAGAAGAAAGGAAAGCTTAGAGAAGACAATTATGCTTGGGGAAATGGAAGGAAAAAGGAAGAGGGGCCGACCAAGGGCAAGATGGATGGATGGCATCCTTGAAGTGACTGGATTGACCTTGAAGGAGCTGGGGGTGGTGACAGGGAGCTCTGGCGTGGGCTGGTCCATGAAGTCACGAAGAGTCGGAAACAACTGAATGAATGAACAACAATCAGAGTAAACCAAACAGTTGTTTTGTATTTTTAGAAAAAACACACAAAGTTTGAAAACATTACTGGGTCCCAGTTTGTTTGTTTCTTTGGTGTCCCTTGATTTGAAGATAGGCAGTAAGTTAATTTATCCATATTTATTATCTCCAGGACCTTGTTCTGCCATTCCTCTCTTTTTGGTATCTCTTTTGATCTCCAGTTCTTCGCAAATACAATTCTGGCTGCCGTGGCCAGAAAATTAAACAATATCTCTTTGTTTTTATCTTCCTCCAGGTCCAGCATTCCTAGTAAGAA